GGGGGGGTCGCAATCTCACTGCTTAGTGATTTAGTGATAGGCAATGAAATCCCATTCTGATGGGTTGTAAGCTTATCAGAGGTATGTGATTTCTTCATGTTCTAAAGAATAGACTTAATTTCAAATAAAAGGGTCACAGGATTTACCTATGCCTCAATGTATACTGTCAATATGTACCAAATTATCTCTTATTTAATCAAATACAAAGCATAAATAACATCACAGGTGATACTGATATTTATCATGAGCCCTGACTATGTCCAAAACTTATCTTTTGATGTACTATTATATGCTGATGAAAAAAGTCTATTTTATTTTTTATTTTTCAAACAATGAAATATTCAGCAGTAACCTTTCTTTACTTATTGGAGTTATCAATTCCCAATTACACATCTAGACTGGTTTATGAAAAAGTCCAGAGGTTTTACCCACCTGGCATCCACTCCACAAACATGTTGAAGTGGCAGCCCTGCCGCGTGGCACCCAATATTCTCACGATGTTGGGGTGGTTTAGTTTGGTCATCATGTGAATCTCTTCTGTGATGGCCTCCACCACCTTTTCCTGCTCTGAGGGGGTATTCCGGCAAAACGAAATCTGCAATGACAAATGAATGTGTTACAAGTAAATAGAAAGTCATAAAGCAAATCCTTATACATAAAGACATGCCCCACTACACCCTACCATCTGGGCCCCACTACACCCTACCATCTGGGCCCCACTACACCCTACCATCTGGGCCCCACTACACCCTACCATCTGGGCCCCACTACACCCTACCATCTGGGCCCCACTACACCCTACCATCTGGGCCCCACTACACCCTACCATCTGGGCCCCACTACACCCTACCATCTGGGCCCCACTACACCCTACCATCTGGGCCCCACTACACCCTACCATCTGGGCCCCACTACACCCTACCATCTGGGCCCCACTACACCCTACCATCTGGGCCCCACTACACCCTACCATCTGGGCCCCACTACACCCTACCATCTGGGCCCCACTACACCCTACCATCTGGGCCCCACTACACCCTACCATCTGGGCCCCAACTAGAGAGATTTACGTAAGTTGATAAAATATTGTTTTGCAATTGTTGCAAATTAAATAAAGTTCATTAACCAAAAAGCAAAAACAACATTGCACAAAATACGATTGAGTTAGTACTAAGAAAGTTTGACTAGTCATTTATACCTGTTTGACGGCCATGATTACGCCACTCTTCACATCTCTGGCCTGGTAACATGTGCTGTAAGCCCCTGTCCCAAGGAGGGGTCCTTTCACCCAGTGAACGTTCTCCAGGAACAGGGCGGGCTCGTTGGTGTTGTTACCTTCGGACACATTTTTACCATAGTCCTGGAATAACATTATAATATTAGCCACATAATGCACAATGATGGAGAATGTGATTATTTAAATCTTTTGAATTTCTTATTATTATAATCCAGGAAATATGCTTTCTGGAAATTTACATTTCATTTGTGGAGGATTTGTTTTTCAAGTGATGCGTTTTGCTTCATTAATCCTGATATTCTTTTTATTTCAGAATTTGCATCAGAACTCATTAAATATATCTATTTCAGATTAAAAAAAAATATACATATAAAAATGAATAAATACAGTATGGTATAGGGTATTTAACAGCAAATGATGCATTGATATGCATTACAAAATAGATAAAAATTTCATGATGGTACACTTAAAAATAAGGTACCTTCTCTAGGTAGGGATAAATTGAATCATCGAGTGGATCTATCCCTAGATTTATCTAGATTTATCCCTAAACAGGGGGTATGTTGTGATTTGTTGTGGGTTATTAACAATAAAAGAAGCTTACGTCTGGCTGTATGCGGATTGTGATGACTTGTTCCTTGTCTGTAGGGGTTAGCCCCGGTACAACAGGCTTAGGGGGCTCTATCCACGACACCTTCATGGCCTCTGATAGAGCAAGCGCCTCCTCCTTCTCAACCTCTTCCTTACACGCACACACCTTGTCATTGCCATCTAGCACCAAAAGTAAACCAACATCATTTCAAGATTATCAAAACTGACTAATAAGAAATGTCATTACATGTAGTACAGTTGGAGGGGGAAGCTAGAATAGGTAGAAAAACAAGAAACTTTATATGGCTACTAAAACCCTATGAAAGATAAAAGAAGAAGAAATAACTTCTTTAAAATGCTGTTGTCACTAATAATGTTTCTTAGGAAATTGATCTTTAAATCATTCAATAAGATGACCATATCAAGAACTGGCTTAAAAGATTTTATACTTACATGTATCCACTGTGTGGCTTGGAGAATGCTTGGGTGTGAGCAGTGTGACCTCTGTTTTAAAGGTCACAGGTTTCTCCCTGTCTGGTGTACATGACGGTGTACTTCCACAACAGCTTTGCTCCAATAATTCATCGCTGGAATTACCTCCATGTTTGGGCGTTGTAAGATATGACGTACTGGCTAAAGACCTTCGACGTGGCCGATCAAGAGAATCGTCCGAGGAGATTGTCTTTTCGTCCGAAGATATTGACAGGAGGCCACTCATGTTCACAGGTTTACATGTCTCATTATCACAGTCAAAGGAAAGGCACTGGGAGGCCAGAGGTTTGTGTTTAGTGGAAGACAACACTTCTTTCATGTCTGGCTCCTTATCACAGATTAAAAAACATTCACTATGATTAATGTAAGCGTTTTTACCCTTAGATTTACAATCACTAAAACCGATATCGTTCAGCACACTTTCAAAGTTTTTATTATCGTTCTCAACATTATTGTTTCTAATGTCACTTGAATTAATTCTTTGGACCACTGGAGGCGGAGACAAGGAAAACCGTTCATTTAAGATTTCATAACTTTTGGTCCTGGTTAAAGGTCTAGGTGGGATAGGGGGTGGAGTCTGTTTCCCAGGAGAGGACGGGGTCAACACACTGTGCGCTGGTGATCTTACTTTGTCTTTCACAAGAGGCATAGTATGTATGTCACTGACTAAATTTTCATCCTTCTCTAGCAATGGGACAGACAAGCAGCCTGTCCCTGCTTCGTCTACCTTGTCAGTTCTCCCACGCTGTTTCTTCCGACCTCTGATGGGTGTGTTTGGCGGCACAAGTGGGGCATGTTTGCTTGAGGTGCTAGCCTCACTTTGGCAGTCTGAGTGAGAGGAGGAAACCGTAGCTGGTGAAACGCAGCGAGGGCTAGAGACAGGTGTGTCAAATGGAGAGTCAACGGGAGAATTGTCAAAATTCCTACGATATTTTAACGTACCCTGATGCAATTCATTCACAATTTTTTCAGACAACTGAAAATCCTCCACTATGCGATACAGTCTTTTTTTCATTGATAAAGCTACATTTGAATCTAGGCCAATCAGTAACTCATCAAGATCTTCTATTATGTTGTCCATGTGAGCAGAAAACTTTGCAACAAGAAAAAAAACACGTCTGGCCATGCGGCTGACTCTCATGTGAGAATTTCCAACTGCCTTTACAGCAAATCTTGCACAGGAAACAAGTCGTTCATAATTTGAAGATCTAGTAGGTGAGGCTGCAGTGGCGCCCTCTACTTTGGAGGTCCCTTCATCATCAGCAGACGTTCCATCTGGAGGATGCCGAGGTAAAAGTTCATTTTGAAATTCTTCAAACATTCTTTGCAGTACGTACAGTCTACCTAGCAACCATTGCCAGGACACTGTGTCAGAATCGTAATCCTCCGTGGCACAGCTCACAATGTAATCCAAGCTATCCAAACCATATGTACCTGTGACAGAAAACAGGCTGGATTACTTCCCTTCTATCTATGCATAGTTATTACGAGATATGTTGGTGTTTCATAATCATATGTTAAATCCCCCCCCCCTATTGACGTTGTATCTGAATAAAATTAAATTTATCAATGCAGTCACTGCTTGCAAGGATTCTGTTTTCCGGAAATATTTCTTCGACACAAACAACTAAATAACATACTGCTATAATACATAAGTTTAAGAAAAGAAAACTGGTAAGATCACTGAAACTATCTTTTTAAACAAAAGTCCATACCTCCATTATGTATGTCCTTGCCAACTGGTAGTTCCCCTTCCTGTCCCTTAGCCAGCTCAATAGCTGTTGACAGGGACAACTGACTGGTCCGCCTGTAACACAGAAACCACTCATTTACACAAAACCAGAGCTCATTATACGGGCCATACGATTATAACATATTAATGAGTGTGTCATCCTCACTTGGACAGGGTCTACAATTTCTTTACAAAAAACCTCTTATGAATGATACTGGACAATCGTGTCATTCTCTTGTTGATCAAAAGTTCATGCTACTTGAATCCTTTTAGATCCGAACTTTCCTGTTCCTTGATTATCTCCCATCTATTACCTTGATATAGTCCTGTTAAAGCATTACTGCAGTGAATTATTATGAATGCAGAGTTATAATACCATTCCTCACCATTATAAATGGAGGTGTGAAAATTAGTACAGTAACTTCATGTACAACCTGATTCAGGTTCACAAATACAGGCCAACAGTGAAAGTTTGCTGGGCCAGAAATCAATTTTGAAAACCACTGAAAAGTAACATAAAATTTTGACAAGTCATTTAGGCTAGCAGTTTTAGAACCACTAGTCCAGCTGGAGATTACACAAGTCTCAAAGTAGTGGGCTATAATTATTGTGGAGGCCTGGTTTGTGTAAATGAAATGATTTGTTTAAGTAAGACTTGAAAGAAAGTACCCAGGAAGGTTTCATGTTATACTGTACAGTTGGCCAGACCCACACAGGATCCAGTACACATACCTATTGCCGTCTGTACACTTGACGATGATGGCGCTTATGACAGGGTTGAGGAGGTATTGTAGTCTCCGTCGCTGCAGCTGATCTCTGCATGGTGTGTACGAAAGGAATGTCCTCAAAGTCCGCTGGATAAGTAAACAGTACAAAGGTTACGATAATCGCTCTTAGCTTTCATATAAGATACATGTGCATATCAAACTGGCAAGGACAGAAAATTACATATTTAAATATTTGTGAACATTGATTTAAACTCATTTAAACATGTGATTTATCACTGTTGAGGTTATTTCATAATTGAAATTCATGCAAATTAGTCCTTATTTAAATATTACTCAAATTAAAAATGTTCCCCTAAGGAGATACTCACCAGACCTGCCACATAAACCTTGTATACAGGGTCTAGACACATGAGACTGAGGACCTGACAGCAGCACTCCAGCATCTTGTGTGTGGCGTCCTGTCTGACAGGGGAGGTAACCGTGCCTTGCCGACCCTCGGACATGTTTCTCATCAGCACTGCTCTGGTTTCCTTTCCAAGGTGCTTGAGTCCTGATTCACGAATTGACCAACTTTTGCTGAAGAAACAGGACACCAAATCCTCACCCAGTAACTGCCAAAAATCAACATCAAATTCACATAATGTAAATAACCTCAAAAAGATAAATGTCTTTTGTTTACCTTGGCTTAAATTTTTGCAGATAATTCATGAGATTCATCTCTAACAAATCATACAAGACTTCTGAATTTCATATTCATAACACAAAACAGTTAATACAATTACTGCAAAAATAGAAAATTAATATACAATGTACAGTTTCTGTTAGCACCTACCTCCACCCAGGGAGCTGCTAGGGATACATGCTCAGGAGGTATAGGCTCTGCGTACGGCAGGCGTTCCTCGCCTTCTAAGGGAAGGGGAGACGACGCCCTCGTATTGGGGGGTACCATTGGGGAGTCACTGCTTGCTGAGGTACCATCACTGTCAGAAATGGAAATTTAATTATGGTAAGCACTTATTAGAGCTATTAGGATACATATTTCATACATCTTTGTCAAGAGTTTTGTGTATAAGAGAAAGTTATTTTTCTATTGATACCAATAATTCTTTCTAGATAGTATCAAACAATACAGGAAAGTATTTTAAATCAAAATATAATGTCTAAAAACATATAGCACATTGCTGTACTTAAACTCCAAGGAAACTGTCAATTGACATTTGGTTTACCTTTGTATTTACTTTTAACCACACTTCTATATTTGTGTTACAAGCTCACCTTCGGACTTCTAATAATTTGTTCACTTTCCATTTGGTCCTACACAGTGGGCAAATCAGAGGGTCATTTTGTCGTCGGCACAGTTCAAACCCTGACAACAAAGAAAAGATAAACAAGGTCAACCTATCGTTCAGAACCAAACTTTCTCTGCATTATAAAAGACAATCATTAAATTCACACGTCTTTAAATGAATTTCACAACACCAAACTGATTCACGAAATGGTATACTAAAACATATGGACGTTGAATCGTTTTAACTAGAGCCTGTGGCCGGTGGACCTACTTACACACAGCAATACAATGGTGATGGAGACGGTTCTGACAACCATCCTCACACTTTAGTAGACTCTCCCCTTCCAGCATTTCCAACAGGCATATAGGGCATGTGTCATCCTCCTCCTTCTGACTCCTAGAAGTTAACCAATACACATCTAATGTTGGTAACAACACAATGATAAGGTACTCTGCTTGTGATGGAACTCTGGATTTTCTATATTCAATCTCTTTGAGACATTCAGTTTACGACTGTAATACCATAGTATATTTCACCTTTTTTATTAAATGTTTTACTGATTGTTTCTCAAAAAGCTGTGATTTACAATGCAACTTCCTTTAAACATCAGTAGTAAATGAATTTCTGTCACAGATATTTTTTGCAAAGACTTTTGATGAATATTTCCCTTATTTTGGAAAAAAAAAGTTCAAAATTTACTACATGACTATTAACAATGCCACTAGCAAACTTGGACCTTAATTACTGATATTTCGTCCATCTCGAAAGGAAAAGGATTCTGACTGAATTATCAATTTTAAATCTAGAGCTAGAAATTGTCAGTTTGCTAGTTAATAATCTACCAATGATAAATTTGGACCTAGATATTGTAGGTCTTACAAAAAGGGTATAGTTTAGGTTAGCATATAAACTACCTATGGTAAATTTGGTCAATCTACCTCAGACAGAGTAGGTTTGTTGACTGAACTACCATTGGTACATAAGACCTCGGAGACTATATTTACGAACCCTAGATCTGCCTCAGACAGTGCAAGCTTTGTTGACTGAACTACCATTGGTACGTAAGACCTCAGAGACTATATTTACTAACCATAGATCTGCCTCAGAGGGAGTAGGTTTGTTGACTGAACTACCTTTGGAGCGTAAGACCTTGGAGACTATATTTACTAACCCTAGATCTGCTTCAGAGGGAGCAGGGGTCGAGTCGTCGGAGGGAGCACCAGTTTGTTCCTCTATTTTCTTCAGCTGTTTCAGCTTTTCCTCCTTCCTATTCTGTATCCGCGAGGAGATTTTTTCGTGGTAGTCCCTGAACAGAGACTCAACCTAGATGTAAATTAAAACAAATAAAGAAATAAATAATTCATAACATATCATATTGACATGTAAATCCTAGAAATTTAAATCATAAGGTGTATTCATGAACATAAGAAAACTACCAGCCAAGAAATGTTCACATGTAATTAATAAATAAGATGATACATCTAATCTTCTTATTAGGTGTTAGTCACATACATCCCTTTCTGTATGGTAAAACCAATTAATTTTATAGATTATACTGTCAGAAATAGTACCAGATTATCATACATAGGAACAGAAAAACAATATCCAAATCTAAAACACTTCCCGTATGCATGTATTATAATACATGTAAGTTTATTTCAAATACTAAAGTCAATTTCCTCAACTGATTTTGAGATCAATTAAGCCTCCTAAATTGTTTTAATAAAATTATTTTCTGCTTACTTAACAATAAGCTTTACTGAGGATATGAAAAACATCTTTCATTGAAAGAAGTCTGCTTGAAAACCTACCTCATAGTTCTTGAGGGTTTTGCTGCCTAGTAAAGGGTCGCCTTCACTGACCTGGAAAACCCTCAGCATGACAAAGAGGACATGGACACAGTGAGGACCCTTACCACAGCTGCACGACTGTAATATAATCACAGGAAAATCAGACAATTATCAATACATACCAATGAAAATATAGGCTAAGTTTTTGTATGTATATGTTTCTACATCAGTAATTTCCTCACTCCAAATTTTGAATGAAATTTTGTAAAGATTATAAATAAATTTAAACTTGATAATTATTCTGTTGATGAAAATGAGTGCCTTAAATACATTGATTAGAGGAGTATGATAAATGAGACTGCAATGAACATTTGATGAACAAAGATATTTTAAATATGTATTATCATTAAATGCAGACGTTATTTTGATCTTTGTATTATGTCACAGGCTATTTTGCTAGATGACAAAAGAACTTTTAGGTCAAACATCCAAACATCAACTATAAGTTGACCTTTGACCTGTACCTGTGGGCCAATGATAACTCTGAATTTGTGGTCAGGGGAGTCACCGCCTATGAGGAAGGAGTTTGGCCCCATCTGTTGTAGGAGGTAGAGACGAAGTCGGAGCACCTTGGCGATTCTGCTCTTCGTCAGCTGACCTCCGCCAGGTGTGGACTTGTTGAACTGAAATCAAATCAAGGAGAAGTTGATCATTCTAGAACTGTCTGAAGTGATACTGAATATTGATAGAATCAGTTGTACCATTAATACTATAGGAAATGTTCAAGCTGTGATGCATTTTTTTGTTGTTGATATTTTAGTTTGTGATGAACACAAACACTTTGTTATAGTCAATCTGTGCTATTAAGAAATCACTGAGCAAAGAAAATACCAAGTTTAGAATGAAGGGCTTTGGACATATACATGAAATTTAGGATGAAAAAATGACTATGCAAAAACACGAGTACATGTACTAGGTAACCATGTTCTACTGATGAAGCAAAATAAATAAAAACAATATTGGAGAGATGGAAAATTAGTTATACTACCCTAACGATGCGCATACTTTGCAAGAGGTTATATTACAATCAGTGAAAGTTAATCAATCTTAGCAATCTTCTTTATTTCAAGATTGGGTCAATTTTAATGCTAATCTTGTGTAACATTTTAAAACAGTTTTGTGCAAGGGAATAATGAAAAAACATAATAACATGTATGAACAGTGCTCTAGCCTCTGCTGTAGTTTTTATATTTAGTGTACTCTACAGAAATTTTCTTTTTCATTATTCATTCTTTTTATTGTTTTTCAGAAACTATAGTGCCTTCTTTTGTCATCATTTGAAAACTAGTACTATCACTTTGTATTACCGAGTTGTTGGGAGAGACCCTCTTCCTCTGGAAACTTGTGTTTGGAGTAAGGTTGACCACCTGTTTGGTGAAGGCTGATTCACCGCGGTTGAAGGACCCATTTCCGCGGTTGATTGACCCGTTACGATTGATTGAATTGCTGCGATTGATTGATCCACTGCGGTTGACTGAGCCATTTCGATTTAGGGAATTCTTTCTGTGAACTCCGGGTGATGTCTGAAAAATAAAAAAATACGTCAGACAAATGTGAATCTTGAAGTCATTGTATATTATTCAAAATGCAATTATTAATCAAATGAATTGAAAATTAGTTAGTTCGGCATACATCCAGCAAAACATAAATCAATCAAAACATTACTTATACAATGTGATAGCAGCTTACATTTTATTATCTATAGTTACAAGTACATTTAGATAAATATGTGGAGCACTGTATGCCCTTACAATATTTTATGCAAAGCACATGCACACTTGTTCCCCGAAGTCTTCCAAGTGTCAGTATACTTATGGCCTAAGTGCACTCAACCATGGTAGGCACCTAGATACAAATCGTATTTGCAATGTGTCTGTGCATATGTTGACATATATGTTTGTAAGACCTGTACAAGTAGCAGACCATACAGAATAGGTGTTATGGTTATCTATATTTCTACCTAGGTACAAAGTTTACAAATAAGTTAAAATATACAGAGAACAGGAAAATATCCTAAATAACATACACTATGTTTGCAATGTCATTAGTCATTCTGAAACAATTTGTAATGTCAGTTGTCATATACTTAAAACCAAATTTGCAGGGCAACAATTTGTAATGTCAGTTGTCATATACTAGAAACCACATTTGCGGGGTAACAATTTGTATTGTCAGTTGTCATATACTAGCTAGAAACCATATTTGTGGGGTAAGAATTTGTAATGTCAGTTGTCATATACTAGAAATCACATTTGTGGGGTAACAATTTGTAATGTCTGTTGTCATATATTAGAAACCACATTTGTGGGGTAACAATTTGTAATGGCAGTTGTCATATTCTAGAAACTACATTTGTGGGGTAACAATTTGTAATGTCAGTTGTCATATACTAGAAACCACATTTGTAGGGTAACAATTTGTAATGTCTGTTGTCATATACTAGAAACTACATTTGTGGGGTAACAATTTGTAATGTCAGTTGTCATATACTAGAAACCACATTTGCGGGGTAACAATTTGTATTGTTACACCTCAAGTGAATTTCTAGCTATTTGATTGGTTGGGAGAAAATTAAACAAAAATCTCTGTCACCTTCCAAAAATACATTGGTTTTAAGGGGCGCGGGTGATATTGCCATGAGACAGTGAAAAATGTCACATGTGCGAAAAATGTGCGTTCACCGCTTCGTTTCCCTACCGTGATGGTCACAAGAACGTTTGACGGCAACAGTCAATTTCATCAAGCGCCGGTGCGATAGCGATTGTAAACAGCAGACTATCAACAAACAAGATGTCATTATCGAGGATTGCTGCCGTTTCTGAGCTACAAAGACTTTTGGTGTAACAAAATAGATATGTCATTCATTAGCAGGTGACAGTGAATATTGTTAACCCTCAAAAACCCATTGTCACCGGAGGCGAAGCCGAGGGTGACAATGGTTTTTCTCGGGTTGACAATATTCACTGTCACCTGCTAATGAATGTCATATTTATATAATGTCAGTTGTCACATACTAGAAACTATATTTGCGAGGTAACAATTTGTAATGTCATGATCAGTTGTCATAATTGAAACAATATTAGGCAAATATGAATTTGAAATATTATCAGTTGTAATAATGGAACAAATGCAGGTGTCTGATGTGCTATCAGATAACACATGTTGTGTTTCATAGGACCCCAGGTGTAATCCTGAATAACATACATTGTTTTATGACGTCAGTTATGATATAACACATGATGTATGTTTAATAATGATGTCAGTTGTGATATTATCTGTTTTATAATGCCATTAGTTTTGGTATTAGACTACATGTATACATGGTGTGTGTTCCAATGCTATCATCACCTGTCGTTGTTATATAAAGTCCCGCCAATAGATCGGGTTCTCAGGTTTACTAGATAACCTATGGTTAACCTTTACACCTGTGCATTATGCTACACATCTTCTGTTTAACAAGATATCTTCTTTATCAGATACACAGTCCTATAACAAAACTGGATCGCATCAATGTCAAAAACACTAACACTTCACAGCTTACTATAATCATAAATAATGTCAATTACCCAGGTAAACTGATTATCAAGTCAGGATCAGGAGCAAGAAGTTTATGTGGAATAAATTATCTCTCGATTCCCGGTAATACCACACGGAGACCTTGAACAACATTGGCTGTATCATAGACATACAATATATATTTAGTTCCTTACAAAACCACAACAACAAACGCCCTCTGCTGTGGCCGATCATTAGCCACAACACAGGAAATAAATCTGAGATAGTACTTGAGTGTTTAAGTACCCAGTGGGATCAATAGGGGGATTGTGTTCTCTCTCACCACAGCTCTGACCCCCAGGGCCTGTCAACTCTCACATCTATTTCATTTGATAAGTAAGATGTAAAATGTCGCTGGGTAGGGATATATACAGTTTAGGTGTATTGGTGTGTTACTTTAACTTCACCATTGATAAGTAAGATGTAAGATGTCAGTGTGTAGGGAGATACACAGTTCAATGGTGTATTGGTGTGTTACTTTAACTTCACCATTGTTAAGTAAGATGTGATATGTCAGTGTGTAGGGAGATACACAGTTCAATGGTTTAATGGTGTGGTATTTTAATTTCACCATTGATAAGTAAGATGTAAGATGTCAGTGTGTAGGGAGATATACAGTTCAATGGTGTATTGGTGTGTTACTTTAATTTTACCATTGATAAGTAAGATGTAAGATGTCAGTGTGTAGGGAGATACACAGTTCAATGGTGTAATGGTGTGGTATTTTAATTTCACCATTGATAAGTAAGATGTAAGATGTCAGTGTGTAGGCAGATACACAGTTCAATGGTGTAATGGTGTGTTACTTTAATTTTACCATTGATAAGTAAGATGTAAGATGTTACTGTGTAGGGAGATATACAGTTCAATGGTGTATTGGTGTGTTACTTTAATCTCGCCATTGATAAGTAAGATGTAAGATGTTACTGTGTAGGGAGATATACAGTTCAATGGTGTAATGGTGTGTTACTTTAATTTTACCATTGATAAGTAAGATGTAAGATGTTACTGTGTAGGAAGATATACAGTTCAATGGTGTAATGGTGTGTTACTTTAATTTCACCATTGATAAGTAAGATGTGATATGTCAGTGTGTAGGGAGATACACAGTTCAATGGTGTAATGGTGTGTAACTTTAATCTCACCATTGATAAGTAAGATGTAAGATGTTACTGTGTAGGGAGATATACAGTTCAATGGTGTATTGGTGTGTAACTTTAATTTCACCATTGATAAGTAAGATGTGATATGTCACTGTGTAGGAGATTCAGGGGAGATATAGTTCTACCATATCACTTTTAAATTTATAATTATTTTTCTCTTAACTCATTCACCCCTGAAGACACATTTAAACTCTTCCAATTCAAAGGTTGGAATAGTTCATTATGAAATTTCAGGGGTGAGTAATTTAACCTAGTTCTTACTTTGTCCTCACAACCATCATACCGGTACTCAATTAATTAATTGTCATATGTATTGTTATGTACCATTCATACAAATACTGCTGGTGCAAGTACTAGTGTGTACTCAAATTAAGTCAATCAATCAATATCAATCTAAAGATAAATGCTTGAACACTATATATCAATTGTCTCAATTTCTTATCAATTGTTTCCACAAAAACTGTTAAAAACTGGAAGTGTAATTTACTTAGCAAAAAGACTGTATAAGGTTGGCATATCTCATGATCATGTTTTTAGTTATTTCTTTATTTTATATTCCAGTGCAGAAAATAGTACAGCTACAACCTTGTTATGTACATGATGTGAGGTTCACACTACAAATGGCAAAATTGGAAAAAATTAATGGTTAAAACATACACAATCATACCTAGTTATAATGCAATCATGTCTCAAGTAGTAAAAACAAAAGTAGAAAAATGGTACTTTACAATGTTTTAAACCTGCAGTACGCATTACTTAAATATAAAATTTAGACCCCCCCCCCCCCCCCCCCCCCCCCCCCCCCCCAAATAATCTTAAATCCACTTAATCTCATTATACTCTTTAAATCGTCATGAAATTAGCTATAGGCCATTTTTTTTATCAAAACAAATGTACATGTTTTAAATACCACCAAAGACTACGGTGGCCTCATGCCCTCATGCGTAAATAATACCTTGATATATATCTAACATCACTTGTACATTACAGAAAAAAAACCTAACAAACACACACCAGATGATAAATGATAATAGGAAAAAAAAAGGTTCACACACAACATCTAAGTGATATCTACCGAGCCATTCCTTCCCATCGCCCAATAAGTTGTCAGTCTCCTTTATTTCCGCTGTAGTTCCAGTGGTACACAGAGTGACATTACAACTGTGACATTGTCTTGTGAGGCTAGAGACACTGGGATGACAATATTGGTTAAGGCCGGGGAAGAGAACAAAGGAGGCCACTGTGACTCATCTTCACAAACTTCTCTGCACCATCCATGCTATTTGTAATAATCTAGATTGGCTGATTGGGTAAACGTTCCTCCACAGATCTTTTTTTTTTAACATTTACTGATCAGTTTACGATAAGATAATTTGTGAGGCTGTGAATTATATTTTGCTGCACCTAAAACTTGCTACTTATTCCCACCCTCTGCCCCTTGTTTAAAAGTTTTAAATCCTGGTGGTCACATTGACTATATTTTACAAGAAAATCACATCTTTGTGGTATTGTTTCTCCGTACCACATAGATACCATCAATAACATTTACAAGAAAAAGACCATCATGGACCTAGTTATAATACATACAAAGGCACATCAATAATGGCATAACTATGCCTTCCATGGGTATTTAACAGATCAATAAAAGAGTTCTATGCTTGAATTTGATATTAAATTCATTTAATCTAATTGTGCAGTGGGGTTTGGAGATAGCACAATGAGTCATATATAGTCACCATTGTACCAGCATTTTCTAATGAGTCTTTATGAGCAGGGTATACTAATCATTAAGACCCCTGGGCAGG